CCCCAAAACCCCAAAACCCCAAAACCCCATTTGAATGAAAAGTACAATTTTTGGGGCTAGCTCAAATATTTCAAAGGATTCATGCTTATTATATATCTTACTTGATTATATATAGAGTTTTAAATATAATAAATTATAATAAATTGATCAAAAATCAAACAATATTTGTATTCGAAAACAATATTTGTCAAAGTTATGTAAAGCTAAGAGTAAAACTAAAAGAGGATTGCCAATTAGGAACCACTACTAAACTAAGAAGTTTATGCAAATTTATATTAAGAATTACCTAGAGAAATTGCTAGAGGGGAAAATTAAGAAAATCTACCTGAGGGAGATTAAGTCTAAAACTTTTAAAAATATAATGCATGAAATGAAGAGTAACCACTCGAATTAGAGGACTTATTCACATTTTCTCTTCCTCCTAATTGCAAATTTTCTCGTCCACCGAATTTAGAATTTAAATTTCGAAGCGAGTGGGAAGCATCTATAGTTTTGGCCTCAAGAATAATTGGGGTAGGATTTTTAACAATTCCTATAAATCTTCCTTGGTGGGCTTATATTATCTTTTTCATACTGATGCTTGCAAATATCTTTTTCGCAGAAGTTTCATGCAATTATACTTCAGAATTAAGAAATAAATACCCTTCTAAGTAAGTTTCGCTGTCTTTAATTTCCAATAGTTGTTTGCAGATACATATTAACAGGCTGACTAATAGGTATTATGCTTTGATATTTACTCTGGTCTACTTATCATTTTATTTTCTTTTTCCAACTTACCATTTCTGTAATATAATCTTAATTCTCATGGTTTTAGTGGCTTTTATTGATTTATACTTACATTTAACTAATGCTACTAATGATTTCCATTTGAGGATATGGTAGTTCTTATGTTATATGTTTTTAGGAATAATATTTTAATTGAGACTAAACTTCACGCTGTATGTAACCTCCTCTAAATCTGCTATATACTGTGCATTATTCTTTTTGGGAGGTTTATTGTCCTTTTCAATATGGTAATTTTATATGACGGGATCTAAATAATTGACTGATTAAAATCAAAATCTAGATAATTTTAAATAATTATGTAAATTACATTAATTTTAAACCATCAAATTATAGCCATTATGTTACACTTTGTGCCAACAATTTCAATCATGTTTTAGTTTGAGCTTTACTTCATCCCAATTTAAAGCTGGTTAGAGAATCAAGATTATGGAAAAGATAAGACAGGCGTACGTGCAGCTATTCGTAGTCTCAGATGTGGAGGTTTATACTATTCTTATATCCTCATATCCCTTATAATATTAGGGGCTTCCAATTTGGACACCAATTGCGATAAAAGTTATTGTACTCTTAATGACGCAGTAAAAAAATATTGTCCACAATGGCTTTAGATAGTATTATTCATACCAATACTTTTAAAGCACTTAGTATAAGGATATATCACTCTTCATATTGCACATGAATAGCTTTGCATTCTAGTAGACTTATCTAGGTGTGAACCTAGTCTGATCATTAATGAAAAAAAACCTATATAAAGTATATAAACAAAAAATCCACTTGGAATAGCTCCTATTGCTAAAGACAATAGTATTTAAGAGGAAAAGCCATTATATTATTGGAAAGCACCAATAGATATGTGTGATTGTTTAAGAGTAATTTTGCTAATAGTGCTCATAGCAGTTAATTTTGTTTTCCTTTTTTATTTGATAGATTGGATGAAATTCATATTTCACTGGAGCGGAATAGTTTTAACACCTTTACTAGTAATTGTATTTCCAGGATATCTCTCTTTTAAATAAAGAGAATTAGATCAAGCAAAAAGGATAAAGCCGATTCTTTTTTGTATTCTAGGATTATTTGTTATAGCAGTATATTCGGTATCGCATATATAAAGTAATGAAAAATGAGTTGAAAGAGGCTGAAAAATAAAAACAATAAAATGTACATTAAATAACTAAATAGAAGGTTTTATCTTTTTTATATGTAGGCTTTTCAACTAATACTTATTTAAATTAATTCCAATGCAATTTATATTCTGAGATTTTATTAATAAGGGGTTTTGGGGTTTTGGGGTTTTGGGGTTTTGGGG